TTTTTTTTTTTTTGTCTTTTATCTTTTTCCGTGTCCGGCAACGGATCGCAACCCTCAGTGTTGCCCCCGTACCGGACCGGGGACCGGCAACGGGATTGCAACCCTCGGTGTTGCCCCCGCGCCTCGCTCAGCCAGTGAGCGGGAACCGGTCTGTATGTGGGATCCGAACCCTCGGGCGGGAGCGCCGCCGCGCTTCCCAAGTGGCGCACTTATCCAGTGCGCCACCGGGCCGGCCCTTATGTAGTTTCTTGTATTGCTAATTTAATGTATTACTATATTTTCATTGCATTTTCCAATTTTACCAATTTGTAGGAAGTTATTAGCTAAAAGTAATTTTGAAGAAAACACGTAGGTCTTATGTAAATGATATAATTTGTTAGTGAAGAATACAACAGCAGCCTTGGGTCCTTGGCACTTATCATTTTGCTTTATCCCTAAATGACAACTATAGAGTTATGAAAATTTGGATTTGTTGATTGCCTGGAACTGAGAAAAACTTCACTTAGTGTAACTGTATTCAGTTGTTGCTGATCTTGAACTCTGATATGACCAAGCTTGGTGTCTTCAGAATAATTTTTAATGGCCTTATTGAAATATCATTGACTTGTAAAAATTGTATTATATATAAGGGATACAGAATTATTTTTACTAATCTACCATACTCCTATGTGATGAAATGAATTTCTTCCATTGTTTCCTTTACCAAAAAGATGGCAGGAAGGTAAACATCTTGTTTTGCTTTCTGTAAAAAAAAAATCATGGTGTAATGTTTGCCCCACGAGTGATAATATTATCCTATTATAGAAAATTTCATTTAAAGTTAGTGTATAAAGCTAGTGTGTAAACAGTTTGTAAAGTTAGTGTATAAATAGTTTAATGTTAATGTGTAAGTACCTCTCATTTGACCTTAGACTAGATGGTTAATGAAAAAGAGCATTAGTTTGTATGAATTACTGTAGCTCATTTCTAGGTTTATTACTGGTCATATATCTTTTTCTGTTTTGAAATTTACATTTGTAACAGTGTATTTTTACAACCTACAGTCAAAGCTCAGAGGAAGAAAAATGACAAATCTTATATTTGTATAGCATGGCATAGTTGAGAAAGTCCTTTCATATCTTTTATTTTATTTATCTTTACCTCAACTTTGTAAGGTGTGATTATTATTGTCCTTTTTTTTTTAGTGTGGAAACTGAAGTTTATTTCTTTGTCATTAAGCTAGGAAATGACAGTCTTGTACCTGGTGTTCTGACTTCCTCAGTGGTGATCTATTAATAGTGTGTAGTCAGTCTCCTGAAAAGTAGCTTTGGTATTAGTGCATTTTGGAGAGCTTGACTAGATTGTAATATGAGACTGCATTCCAGTTTTGGGGAGGAGCTTCAATGTGTTTTTAACTCTTTCTTTCTTTGCTTTAGTCTGAATACACCACCTGGAACTAAAGTTAAGCTCTCAGGCATTATTGACATAAAAAATGGATTCCTGCTCTTGAATGACTCTAACACCACAGTTCTTGGTGGTGAAGTGGAACACCTTATTGAAAAATGGGAATTACAGAGAGTAAGTATAAACTAAGAAGAATGGTTTGAACTTTTAAAACACTATACTCTTTTTATTGCATTCTCTTATTTTAAGGAGCACTTCCCATAATGAATAGTAAAATTAGTCCTTTGTGTCTGAGTTGAATAGAATGGAATGTGATGATCTTTAGAGAAACTATCTACCTTTTCCTTTAAAGTAGTTATAATTTTTCAGTATTTGTTACATTTTATTACATATTTTAAGAAATCATTTTTTACTGACAAGTTTCAAAATAGGTAAGATACCAGTTATAAGCTATGCCTAATGTGTCTGTGTATAATTCTCCAAAAACCGATAGTGTTGGCGCATGTATATGAGTTTAATGTATGTATATTTGTCTCATCTATACATACATACGTACATGCAAGTAAAAGCAAGTTAGAATTTCATTATAATGAAGGGGTTCTTGTTGCCCTTGACTTCTTAGTTGCGTTGTGATGCAGGGTTTTTCTCAATTTATGTTAATATCTTCATCCTTTCAGTCATGTAGGTTATCTTGTGATTGTTACTCTACTTTTCTTCCAGCAACCAATTCTATTGATCCATTGCAGTTAAATCTCATATCAGTCCCTTGTTCTCCAGTGTGATTGTTGTTATGATAGTTTGTCTTTAGTATCTTGTCTGGACTACTGCAGTAGCCTTTTAACTGTCTCTCCACATATCCTCTTTCCATCTTTATTTTATCTTCTGTCAGATTATGTTCCTTCAACATGTTTCAGAACATGTCACACCCTGCTTTTATTTCAAATGCCTTAATTTGGAATTCAAGGCCCTATCATCTAGCCCTAGTTCTAGTTTATCTTTTCAATTTACTAAGTAATTTCACATAGATTTTTTTTTTCTAGCCAAATGGAACAATTTACTTTTTCTTTGATTCTCTATGCTTTTTTTGAGTTATTCTTTTGAAAAAAAAAAAAAGATTTTCCCACTTTTATGTCATTATGTTTTCTCTTTCCTAATCCCTGCATGGTCAAATGGTCCCCATGCATTTAGATGCAGATCAAATGCTTGCTTTTTTACAAAGTGAAGTAGTTGTTCCTTTATTGAATTCTTGAAACACTTTATCTATATTAACAGTGTACCTGGTATTAAAATTATATCTGTTTCTTATCTATTTTAATAGATTGTTAGCTTTTTGAGGTCAGAATTCTTGTTAGTGTCATCTTTGTTCATGTCTACAAATCTTTGTTGAACAGTGTGTAGATAGTGTGCTGGGCTTTGCATCTGTATCTTATGTGATCCCCCTAATAGTCTTATAAGAGGTTGTTATGTCCATATACATCAGAAAATAGACTATTAGGAACCGTTAAATTACTTACTTTATGGTTAGACAGCTAGTAGGTGATGGATCTGAGCAGAATTCAAGACCATTTTTTCCATTATATTAGAGCAGCCTCCCTCTATCTCCAGAGTGGTTGCCCTGAACCTTACATGTAATAGACATCATAAAAAATATTTGTTGAATGAATGAATTGCAAAGCACATAAAACTAATTACTCTGTGAGCAAAAATTGATGTTCTTGTGCCACCCTCAAATCTTACCTTTTGCTGAAAGCCAGCCAAGAGCCCAGAAATATTTCAGGCTTTTGGTATTTTATGATACATTACTCTCTCCTATTTTCTTAGTTGGAAAATGCCTGTGTTTGGGAGTTGAATGGATAAGGAGATTTGGGCACATTTTTATGCACTAAGGAGTACTCATTTCTTATAATACTAATGTGCTACATTTTGGGCTGCTGTACTATGCATTATAAGGTAATGTTCCACAACTGCATTGTTTAATTGAAAATGTCACAAAAGAGTAATTCCAAAGTGGCTTAGTAGTTTTATATAAACAGTCAATTTTATGAACTTTGAATTTGCAAGAGAAATCCCACCCATTTCATGTGATCCATTCATAAGACAACATATTGTATGAGGGTACTTACTTCAAAAGTTTGTGGAAAAATAGCATTAAAAGATAATACAAATCTTTCCATGAACTTTTTGAAGGTTCCTTTTATTTTTGTTGTCATTAGAGATTTTTTTAAGTGTGGTAAAATATTCTCAAGTCAGACCAAACACCTTAAATGATTTTTCCACAACCCAGCTAGAACCACCTCACTAACCACCATAGAATCAGTTAAACATTCCTAGGAACCTCCTCACCCGCAACACACACATATACACAAAGAGTTTTGTAGTAGTTTAATAGCTGTTCTTGAAATGTTTTATATTTCTCTGAACTTTGCTTCTAGAAAGCCACTTTAATATTTCTTGTTAGGAGATGATAAAAATGTACACCTATAATAGTTTAAAAACATTTTAATATGTTTATAGTTCCCTTCAGTTTTACAGTTTTTTGATTTGGTAACCATAGCAATGTAGGAACCATGGAGAGTGCAATTACTTGAGCAGCTGGCAGGTGGTACACATAGAAATCAAGTGTACATATAGAAATCATAAACATGAGAGTTAATTTTGTAAGTAAGGGAACCATAAACATTATAAAATAGAGGAAGGGAGCATTGGGTTTTGCAAGGTGGTGTTATGTCCATATAGATCAGAAAATGGACTACAGTTGTAGCTATAGCAAGTTGACTACACAAAGGTGAAGAAAAGGAAAAAGCAAACCATTAAGTGTTTTGTGTGTTTGTATGGTTCTAGGGAGTTCTGCACCAGATGTAATTTGCAAAGTAGTGTAGTTCTGTAACATTTTAGTGGCCCCAAATGACAGATCAGATTTTTTTTTTGATTGTGGTAAAGTATACATAACACAAAATTTAACACTTTAACTATTTTTAAGTGTAACGTTCAGGGGCATTTTGTGCACATTGTTGTACAATCATCACCACCACCCATCTCCAGAACTTTTTCATCTTCCCAAACTGAAACTCTGTACCCATTAAACTATAATTCTTCATTCCTCCCTCCTCCCAGTCTCTGGCAACCACCATTCTACTCTCTGTGTCTATGAATTTGACTGCTCTAGATACCCATATTAGTGAAATCGTACAGTATTTGTCTTTTTGTGTCTGGATTATTTCACTTAGCATAATATCTTCAAGGTTCATCCGTATGAAGTACGTGTCAGAATTTCCTTTCTTTTTAATGCTGAATGGTATTACATTGTATGTACTTACCACATTTTGTTCATTCATCCATCAATGGCCATTATTAGGGTTATTTCCACCTGTTAGCTATTGTAAATAATGCTGCACAAATATTTGTTCAAATTCTGCTTTCAGTTCTTTGGGGTATATACCCAGAAGTGGAATTGCCGGGTCATATGGTAATTCTATTTTTAATTTTTTGAGTAACTACCATACTGTTTTCCACAGTGGCTATACCATTTTATATTTCCACCAACAGTACACAAGGGTTCCAATTTCCCCATATCCACACTTGTTTTCGTAGTAGCCATCTTGATGGGTGTGAAGTGGTATCTCATTGTAATTTTGATTTGCATTTAGCTAATGCTTAGTGATGTTGAACATCTTTCCATCTGCTTATTGGCCATGTGTACATCTTCTTTGGAAAAATTTCTATTCAAGTCTTTTGCTCATTTTTCAATCATTTTTTGTTATATGAGATCTTTATATATTCTGGATATCAACCCATTATAAGATACATGATTTGCAAATATTAATTTCCATTTCATAGGTTGCGTTTTCACTCTGTTAATAGTGTTCCTGATGCACAAAAGTTTTTAAGAATTTTATATCTATGCTTACAGTTTCTTTTTATGTGTAGGTCTTTTGATCCATTTTGAGTTAATTTTTATGTATGGTGTAAGTTAAGAGTCCAAATTCATTCTTTTGCATGTGGATTTCTAGTTTTCCCAGTACCACTTGTTGAAAAGACTGTCCTTTTCTCAACGAATAGTCTGGTCACCCTCATTAAACATCATTTGGTCATATATGTGAGGTTTATTTCTGGGTTTTCTGTTTTATCGATCTGTATGTCTATCTTTATGCCACAGTGTTTTGATTACTGTAACTTTTTATTAAGTTTTGTAATCGGGAAGTGTGAGATCTTTCTTAGGATTGTTTTGGCTATTCAGGTTCCTTTGAGATTCCATATGAATTTTAGAAATGGGTTTTCTATTTCTGCAAAAAAAAGTCATTGGAATTTTCATAGGGCTTGCATTCAGTTTGTAGACCACTTTGGGTGGTGTTGACATCTTAACAAATTAAATCTTTAATCCATAACCACGGGATGCTTTACATTTATTTCTGTTTTAGTTTCTTTCAGCAACGTATTGTAGTTTTCAGTACACAAGTCTTTTGCCTTTTTGGTTAAGTTCATTTCTCAGTATTTTATTCTTCTTGGTGTTATTGTAAATGGAATTATTTTCTTAATTTTCTTTTTACTTTGTTCATTCTTAGTGTAGAAAAGTACAAGTGATTTTTGTGTGTTGATTTTACATCCTGAGACTTTGTTGAATTTATTACTAGTTATAACAGTTTTTTTTTTTCTTTTCTTCTTTTTTTGGTATGGAATCTTTAGGGCCTTCTACATGTAAGATTATGTCATCTGTGAGCAGAGGTAATTTTACTTATAGCTCTGACTAGAACTTCCAATATTATGTTGAATAGAAGTGAAAGCAACATCATTGTCCCTGATCTTAGAGAAAAAGCTTTCAGTCTTTCACTATTGAACATGATGTTAGCTGTGGCTTTTTCAAATGTGGTCTTTATTATGTTGATTAGTTTCTTTCTATTCCTAGTTTGTTGAGTGTTTTTATTATGAAAATGTGTTAAATTTTGTCAAATCCTTTTTCTGCATTGAGATGATCATGTGTGTTTTTTTTTTTTCTCCTTCATTCTATTAGTGCATTACATTGACTGGTTTTCATATGTTGAACCATACTTGCATTCTGGGAATAAATCCCACTTGGTCATGGTCTATAATACCTTTTATATGTTGTGGGATTCAGGTTGCTATTTTTTTGTTGAAGAGAGACCATTTACTCTTTTTTTTTTTTCAAATTTTCTTTTGTGGTAAAATACACATAAAATTTACTATCTTAACCATTTTTAAGTGTAAAGTGTAGTAGTATTAAACACATTCACAAATGCTCAACATCACTAATCATTAGTGAACTACAAATCAAAACTACAATGAGCTGCCACTTCACACGCATTAAGATGCCTACTATCAAAAAAACAAAATAGCAAGTATTGCTGAGGATGTGGAGAAATTGGAACTCTGTGCTCTGTTGGTGGGAATGTAAAATGGTATAAGCCACTGTGGAAAACAGTATGGCAGTTAACTAAAAAAATTAAAAGTAGAATTACCATATGATGCAGCAGTTTCACTTCTGGGTAGATACCCCAAAGAATTGAAAACGGGTAAAGATATCTTGAAGAGATATTTGTGTACCTGTGTACGTAGCAGTATTATCCACAATAGCTAAAACGTCAAAGCAACTCAAGTGTTTATTGATTTATGAATGGATAAGCCAAATGTGGTTTGTATAAGTAATGGAGTATTATTTAACCTTAAAAAGAAAGGAAATTTTATAATATGTGACAGCATGGATGAATCTTGAGAACATTATATACTAAGTGAAATAAGCCAGTATGATTCCACTTGTATGAGGTACTTACAATAGTAAAAATCACAGAGACAAAAAAGTAGAATGGTGGTTGCCAGGGGCTGGGGGGAGAAGAGGATGGAGGAATTATTGTTTAATGGATATAGAGTTTCAGTTTTACTACACCATTAACCAGATGTTTTAATATAACTCAATGTGGAAAATTATGTCTACTACCTTGCTCCTTTTTATCAACCTGGTTTTGTTCCTCTTTTGCTTTCTACTTCCCTTTAAGTGAATTGCATATTTTTTATGATTCTGTTATCAGTATTATTGGTTTATCAGCTATATGTCTGTAGTTTTGTTTTTAAGGTGTTGCTCTAGGGTTTAAAATATGTACTTTTAACTTTTTTCTCTCTGCCTTCAATAATATACCGCAGTATGCATATTGTAAGATCCATACAATTAAATGCTTTCATGGTCCCAATTTTGTCCTATTTTCCCACATTTACCATTTCTGGCACTCTCTTTTTTATTTTGTGAAGACCAAGCTCCTACTAGGTATATCTTTTAGTTCAGGTCTGCTGATGATAAAGTATTTTATAGTCTTGATTTGCCTGAATCTATTTTTTTAATCTTTTTTTTAAAGGATATTTTCTCTGTATGTATAATTCTACATTGAAATATTTTAAAAAATTCCTTTGTTTTAAGGATGTCATTTCCTTGTCAGCTTTTTGCTATACTGTCTGAAGTCTGTGGTTATCCTCTGTATGTAATATATCTTTTCTCTGTGTACTTTTAAGATTTTTTGATATTGGTTTTCAAAAATTTGATTGATCGATCATGATGTATCTTGATATGGTTTGTGTGTGGATATGTGTGTACATCTTGTTTAGTATTCACTGAGTGTCTTAGATGTGTGGGTTTATTATTTTCATCACACTTGGAAAATGTTTGGCAATTATTTCATCGAGAAACTTTTTTTTCTCACCCCTCTCCCTGCTCCTGTTCTTTTGTGACTTTAATTGCACATACATTTGACTGCATGTAGTTGTCCCACAAGTCACTGAAGTTCTGTGCATCTTTTTCCCTAGGTTTTTTTCCTTTGGCCTCATTTTGGTAGATTCTGTTACTGCACCTTTAAATTCACTGGTCATTTCTTCTGCAGTGTCTAATTTACTCTTAATCCCATCCAAGTAGATTTTCATTTTTGGTAGTTTTTTCTTTAGAAGTTTCATTTCATTCTTTTTTTATATTTTCCATTTCTTTTCTCATATATAGTCATGTTTTCTTTTAAATACTTACACATAGTTATAGTAGCTGTTTAGCACTCTATTGCTAATTCCATCATCTTTCTCATCTATGGCTGTGTTTCTATTGACTAATTTTTCTGATAGTTAAAGGTCACATTTTCCTTTCTTGGCATACCTTGTAGTTTTTGCTTAGAGGCTGGATATTATGATGTAGGTGGATGGATTTTGTAATTTTCCTTAATGAGTATAGGACCTAGATCTGATAAATAGTTAATAAGATACTAAGAGATCAGTTTGACTGCATCAGCACATATATTCAGACTTTGAAAGGGGAATATAGGATAGCCTGTGCTCCAAGTATCTTTTAGGGCTCTGGGTATCCACTCACTGCTCTGAATGATCACCAGACTCTCCAGTTTGGGTGGTCAGAGCTGGATTGTCTCTTTACCCTTTGTGAACTCTGGGAATCGTTCAGTTTACAACTCCTAATTGTTTTTTGCTTAGCTTAGTTCTTGGCAAGGACTCAAGGCAACTCCTAGGCAAGTTTCTGGAGCTTCTTTTCTGTAAAGGTTCCTCTTTTCTGAAATTTCCATTTGCTTCATACTGATTGAACTATGAGATTGATTTTCTTAGCTCAGCTTTCTGTGCTCTCTGTCTGCATCACGCCTTCAAGTGGAAAGCCAGAGTTCACCTAATTTCTTTCTCTCAGGGATAATAAGTCTTGTACTACCTGTTGTCCTATGTCTTAAAACTGTCATTTTTTACACATTGTCCAGATAGCTAGTTGTTTATAGAGGAAGTCTGACTTTTATACCTTTATCAGGGTAGGAAGTAGAAATCCTGTAGTATGTTTTTAATTATGTAATATGTATTAAGAGATGGTATTATTGGCAACTTACATGAGCATTTTAAGGAAGTTTTAATACAAATTGAAATGATTTATAGCTGTTAGAGTAATCTTTTTGTATGTAAATTTAAATCTGAGAATAGGGTCCCTAGATACTTTTATGCATTTGCTGTTTTTTTAAAAAATAAAATCAGGTTAATATCTTAAATATAGGTTATAAAGAAATATGGCATTCATGTACAGTTTAAATTATTCTTTGCTCAATAAACTGAATTTTACAGTTGTTATTAGTCTTGCTATTCTTTATAAACATACATAAAATATATAGTATTGTTTACATAATTTATGAACTCTGAAATATGCTTGAAAGTGCACATGGTGATTTTTTAAACTTTGTAACCCACTATTTTACATCATATTTTAATCATAACATTTTCTGTAGTGATAATTATTTAAAAAGCACAAAACAGTTTAAAGTTGAGAAGATGTATTGAATAACAACTGGTGCTTAATAGAAGTATGTTAACAGCTCAAAAAGAAAATAAACAGGCAGAATAGAAAACTGAAAGAAGTCCTTCTGAAGACTCCTTATGACATTTTAGAAGGACCTTTATAATGTGAGAAATTGCTTTTGCTAGGAGGATATTTTTTCCTTTTTCATAATACATTGTTAACTCTTTACTGAGAGTTTGAGAAAAAAGAAAACTAAAATTAGCAGGGTTTGGAAGCTTACTTTTATTAAAGAACAATCAGTTGGTTGAATAATTACCCAAAGTATTTTTTTTTACAAAATGTAAGACATAAAGGGAATTTTACTGTAATTGAAAAACCTCCATGGGCCGGTCCGGTGGCGCACTGGAGAGTGCGCCGCTTGGGAGCGCGGCGGCGCTCCCACCGAGGGTTCGGATCCCATGTGGAGACTGGTTCCTGCTCACTGGCTGAGTGCGGTGCGGGTGCAACACCGAGGGTTGCGATCCCGATGCCAGTCCCCGGTACGGGTGCGACACCGAGGGTTGCGATCCCGTTACCGGTCAGTAAAAAAAAGACAAAAAGGAAAAAAAAAAAAAACCTCCATATTATAAACTATAACAGTGTGATTTCTTTAAATATTTAGGAATATTCTTTATCAGGATGTTGTTAGCTAACAAATTTTATGTTTAAAAACTTCATTTTTGGAGGTAGTTACCAGGTAATATTTGTCTGACAGGTTATAATTTTAATATGCTTTAAAGTGAAATTCTTGTTACCAAAGTTTGTTATCTTTGAATGCACTGCTTGTGGAAGAGTACTGTTTTCTCCTTAGTAGAACAGCTTAATAGCGCTACCGCGCTCCCAAGCGGCGCACTGTAGCAGTGCGCCACCGGGCCGGCCCAATAGATATTTCTAAAAATTACATGTGAATGTATGTTTTGGTAAGGGGAGATGAGGGGAGACCCTTGCCTAATTATGGAAGTTAGCAATAAAATATTTTACGTAGATTGAAATAATTTATAGATGACCTTTTTTTCTGTTTCTTATAAGAATCTGCTTAAAGAAGTGAATTTCTGCTACATTAAAAATGTCATAAACATTTTTATGTATAATTTCTGTTTTATTACTGATTTTTTTCATAGAGCTTATCAAAACACAATAGAAGCAATATTGGAACTGAAGGTGGACCACCTCCTTTTGTGCCTTTTGGACAGGTAATGACTTTCTTGTTGGCAGATGATTTAAATCAGGAAAAAAGTGTTTTACATTTGTATTCAAGCTGTGTTTAGTTTTGTGCTGAATTATTTATTCAGAGGTCATTGAGTTATATGGAAATATGAAGTTCAAGGATTTTAATGATTTTTTTTTCTTCATTCTAATTTAATTGTTGGTTTATATTCTTTTCTCAAGAGCTGTTAACCCAAAGATTGAAGGAATTAAGAACTGTATCTGAAGAACAACTTATAACTTATTAAGATAGAATAGGGGGAAGAGTTTTTATTTTTTTTAAAGGTAAATTCAAAAGTAAGAAGACAAAAATATGCCATAATTTATGATTTTGTTCAGTAAAAATAAAAGAGAAGGGAGAGAAAAGTAAAGCTGCACAGAGTGATTAGACAAAGGTGAGGACAGAGGCAGGGAAGGGCATCACATACTTTAGGAGAGCTTCTTTTCCCAGCTGTCCCTTCCAAGATTCTGTTCTTCTTTCTCGATCCAAATACACATCTCAGTCAGGCACCTCATTTTATTTCTAGTAGATATTTTCCTTTCCAACCACAGCAGTTTTGATTTTTCTCCTACACAGTTAAATGTTTCTTGTCTACCCTCTTCTTTTTTCAACCTCCCTTGCTGTAAAGTGCTGCTTTGAGGTATCTCCACAGCTGACCAGTATCTTGTGTCTTCCTGGTTGTGCTCAGCATCCAATTGTGTTCATGGCAGTGTCCTCCAGCCTTTTCTTACTTTATCCCTGACAAGTCTGAGAATAAGCTCTGTGGCAGCTTGCTCTTCACTTCCTGATGCCACCAAGATTGAGCTGCTGGTAATCTGCCTTGCATTTATTTGCTTTTAAGTTTTCTTTGAGAGTGGTGGCAGAGAGTGCAGATGAGTTGGGGACATAACAGGTAGAAAATAGAGACCTACACTTTGATAACAAGGTTTATTTTGTGTGTGTGGGTTTTTAAAAAAAATTTTGTTATAAACAAATATATCTAGATTAGAAGATGAATGTGTAGGATAAGTTGACTGACATCCTCTTCAAAAACATTTTTATAATGTCTGTTCAAAATTAAAGTCATTCTTGCCTTATGGCTATTTTGAAAGTATTTTTTTAAAATGTTGACTTTACTGTGTTTTGGAACAATGGACAGTCAAGATAAAAGGAGGTATGAAGTCCTATGGTGTGATCCATGTTGAGGATATTCTCCTAGTGTAATAAAAAATCCTCAGAATGAAAATAGAATGTAAACATTCTAATAACATATTTGAAAATAATAAATGATGTATTATAAGAATTTTTCTCCTTAGCATTTTGTTTATGACTTCTCTTTCATAAATTGCTTATGACACAAAGTTGGCTTTTTTTTTTCATCCAGGGAAACTTGTGATCTAATTATTTTCAAGAGTTTGACATGTGTTTTATAGCTTTTTTGGGGGTTCTTAGGAAGTATAATAAAAGTTTCAATAATATTATTTGTTTATAAAGATCATTCTGAAAAATTCAAAAGCAGCATATCACAGTGTTGTATATGGGTTCAAGACAGATAATGCTGGCTATGTGTCGGCATCAATAGGATATATTTATATTGCTGAAAATTTACTGTATTTGTTTAACATTCGAGAGGGTCTTCTGCTCCTCCTCCTTCATCTTTTTATTAATGAGTTGAGAAGAGGTTCATTTTATAGAATTTTTACTAGTAGTATTAGAATAGAGACCAGAATTCAGGACTTATTTTTAGGCAATGATGCTTTTCTTAATTTATTTGTATTTATTTTCATAACTTATTTTATAAGACTAAAAATCAAAAACTTTGCAGCCTGATTGGAGTGAGAGGGTATGTTTTTAGCTTTTGGTTTATAAGTGCAGAGACATCTTTTTATATGTTAAAGTGATTGTACTGACCAACCCGTATATGGATATTATGGCATAATATGGAAGTTAAGCTCTTAATTAAAAAATTGAATTTACATCTTCTTGTGCATTAGTCTACACTTTTGAAATATAAAATTATTTTATGTTATTATCCTAAAATGAAACTTAGAGCTCTTGGTCCAATATATGTTTAAAATATGTGACCTGGTTTAGATGACCACATTTTTGTATAGCTTTTGCTTTTATGTACTAGTTACCTTTATTTAAAAGTTACTTTAATCAGTTTTCTACCTTTATGTTTAAATCTGTGTAATAGAATTGTATTTTTGTGGGCTCTGAGCTATTGGAAGAGACACAAACTTTTTTTTCTTTCTTTTGAGGAGGGTAGCTGGCCAGTACCGGCATTGAACCCTCGACCTTGCTGTTATTAGCACCACTCTCTAACCAACTGAAGCTAACCAGCCAGCCCACAAACCTTTCTTTTGAAGAAGTGTTACTTTCTAATGAAAACATGAATCTCTTTTGTAATTACTGAATTGACTTATTTTTGTTTATTTTACTAGAAGTGTGTATCTTATGTCCAAGTGGATAGCAGAGAACTTGATCGACGAAAGACATTGCAAGTTACAATGCCTGTCAAACCTTCAAATGATAATGATGAATTTGAAAAGCAGAGAATTGCTGCCATTGCAGAAGTTGCAAAGAGCAAAGAAGTAAGAAATTAAATCATCACAAATTTCTCTTATCATTATGTTCTATTTAGATTACTCATGGTCACTACTGCCTTTTCACATAAGATAAATAATTCAACAAACCCTTGATGTTATTCTTCTTGCATACTCCATAAGTAGAAAATGCCCTGCTACCTTTTGGGGTCTACATTTTTTTCTGTGTTCTTTTTCCAAATTTCCTCCTCAGTTCCAGTAAGTTACTCTTGCTAGCAAATCACCTTTCTTTTCTCCATCTTTCTTTTCTTCTTGACAATATAACAACTGAACACAGCACTTTTTATTGTGGCAGGAGGTTTCCTCTTTAGTTAAACTAGTTGCCACGTTTTTGGGATAATTTTTCCTTATAATAGCAACTTTTGAGGAATACAGGTAAAAATCAGAGGATAAATCAGTGGCTCAGGATTAACTTACATTACCTTCTCAGTTTTCATTCTTAATCCTATTTAGTGTGTAGTAAAAAGTAATTTTTAATCTTTGGATTATACGCGTATTATACGTGCACAAACCCTCTGCTATCTGTGGATAGCAAAAGGTTTTCTTTTAATTGTTTTGTATTTCTTGCTTATTTGGAATAGGTGTTTTTTTTTATAGTTGTTTACTGATTTTTAGACTTTGATAAGAAATTTTAGCTTATGAAATTAATTGCTTAGACAGACATTTCTTAACCAGTGAGATTGAAATCGTTTCCCTTATTGAGAACTTTTAAATGAAGCTTAGCTAACAACTGCTTTCCTAGTTAATTTCTAAGTTTAAGTAGGAAACTTCTTGAATTTTGGTTGTTCTTCCTGCAGTGTCTTTCTATCACCAGTCTAGTAAAGTGGCCAAAACCACAAGCTCTGGAATTGAACAGCCTGGAAGCATGTTCTGCTGACAACCTTGGATAGGTTACTTAGCTTTTTGTACCCCATTTTTCTTCATCTGTGAAACTCAGGGGTAATAATGTACCTACTTCATATGGTTGCTGTGAGAATTGAAATTTACAGTCTTTAAAAATTTAGAATTAATATACCACTGTTACCTGGCATGGATCACGATTCTCTTTTGCCTAAAGCTCTCAATAAACACAACTGTTGCTTTTGTTCAGTACTTCCTCTATTCTAAGGCACATTTTTAGAAAATCATTTTTAACATTTCTTAAATTAATGCACTTTATATCATTTACAGGAAATGTATTTATTCTTTCCCCAAAAGATATTAAAATTATGGCATTTCAGAAGAATATATTGAGAGTATATATATATATTACATAATGAGCATAAGAAAGTTGTTCTTTTGATTTATCTCAAACAAACTTTTATCCCAAGGATTTTGTTTGATTAAGGCACATTTTTAGAAAATCATTTTTAACATTTCTTAAATTAATGCACTTTATATCATTTTACAGGAAATGTATTTATTCTTTCCCCAAAAGATATTAAAATTATGGCATTTCAGAAGAATATATTGAGAGTATATATATATATTACATAATGAACATAAGAAAGTTGTTCTTTTGATTTATCTCAAACAAACTTTTATCCCAAGGATTTTGTTTGACATGGTTACAGCTGTCTCTATTGAAGGATAGTTAACATATTGTAATATGCTTTATTTTTTAAAAGTCTTAATTGATCACATTACATTTCCCTATAAATATTTCATAATTAAAGAATCTTAATTTTTTAGAATGGATACAGATGTTAAAACTTCTCAATTTATATGTGAGTGGTCTTTAAAAAGATCATGAAAAGATTTATATCTCTCTCTTTTTAATCTCCTGTTTTAAAAATTTTTTTTGTTGTTGTTGATCATTATACAATGTAATTGATTTTCTTGGCCCTTTACCAATTGTATCTCTTTTAATTCTACTTTTCCACAAATTTCTTCAAGTACCCTCATATGAGAGTTGAAAACTAACAAACTTGCGACTTGCCCAAGGTTACCCAGTGATAATTCTAGTACTAAATCTATGTGTAACATAATAGAAGATTTATATCATAAATAATAGAAACATACTAAATAAGAAAACTGCAGATTGCAATTTTAAATGTAGTAGTCTGATTAGGCTTCAAGATAGTGATATTAGAACCAAGACTTGGGGGGAGGTAAGAGAATTAGCTACATGGTTATCTGAGGAGATGTTTCAGAGAGAAGGAAAGGCATTGCAGAGGCTCTAAAGCAGGAGCATATGTTCAAGGAACAGCAAGGTGGCCAGTGGAAGCAGAGAGAGCAAAGGGACAAGTAAAAGATATTGAGTCAAGGGCCGGCCTGTGGCTCACTCGGGAGAGTGTGGTGCTGATAACACCAAGGCCACGGGTTTGGATCCCATATGGGGATGGCCGGTTTGCTCACTGGGTGAGCGTGGTGCTGACAACACCAAGTCAAGGGTTAAGATCCCCTTACCAGTCATCTTTTTTAAAAAAAAAGATATTGAGTCAAGAGAGATAATGGAGGTCAGTTTATATAGGGCCCTGTAAGCCATTGTAAAGACATTGGTCTTTATTCAGAGAAAAATGGGGAGCCACTGGAGGGTTTTGGGTATAGCAATAACAATAGCTGACCTACATTTTAAAAGGCTAATTCTGCTGTGTTCAGACTAGATTGTAGAGAAGGAAGATTGGAATCAGTTAAGTTAGAAGATTATTGAAGTAATCCAGGGGAAAAAATGATGGTAGCTTGGATAAAGATAGCAGCTGTGTAGGAGATACAAAGTTGTCAGATTCTGCAATTTTGAAAGTAGGGTCATCGGTATTTTTGAGAGGTTGGATATGGAGTGTGAGAGAAGATGAGGTATCAAGAATGACTCCAAAGATTTTACCATGAGAAATTGGCAGGTTAGAGTTGCTTACCTTGAAGTGGATGAGACTGAAGTGGAGCAGGTGTGAGGGGAGGAAGATCTGATGCTTTGTTTTGAACATACGTATATTGAGGTGCCTATTAGAAATGCATGTAGTAATGTTTAATAGGCAGTGAGTCAGAAGACTGTAGTTGAAGATTGAGCTTTGGAATAAATATATGCATCTGAGAGTTGTAGGCATATACATGGTATTTAATCATGACGCCAGGATGGTCAGCCGGTAGTGGGTTATCATAACTTATGAACACTAGTGTCATTAAAGTTGGTATACAGCCCCCCACTGCTAAATTTGACTGGCTTAAAAGAAAAATCATGAGGCCAAATGAGATCGCCAAAAGAAAAAGTATTCTTAGAGAAGAGAAAAAGGTAAGGAATGAACCCTGTAGCATTTTAACCTTAGAGAGTTGGATGGAGGAAGTTGAACCAGCCAAGGTAATATAGGACCAGTAATGTAGGACAAAAACAAGAGAATGTAGAAAGTGTATCATAGAGGAGGGAGTGCCAAACTTATTAAAGGCAATTGAAAAGTCATGTAAGATGAGGACTGAGAATTCATATAGAATTGGGGAGGTCATTCATTTCCTTTACATTCTTGATGTGGTGAAAAATCTGTGCAAGTTCTTTAATGATTATTTCAGTTTTTTTCAGTAAGGGAGTAAGCAAGGTTGACAGAGACAATGGGGGGAGAAGGTGTTGGACTTTGGAAAAGTGAGGAGAACATGTGAAAAAATGGTCTAGAAGACTGGGAGGGTCTGTGGGCTAGGGAAATACGGTGACATTGCTAGATAAAGGGCCCACTTGAGTTTCATGGTCATGATGATCTCACAGATGCCTAATTCACATATGAACTAGATGGTATGGCTTATAAAGGGCAACACCAGTTTACCTATGGGAAATGTATAGTTGTGATGGTTCTGGGTATTTATACATTTACTAAATAACAACTGTTTTAAAGCTATGAAAAGCAATTCTGAAAATGTTGTTTATCCTATTCCTTAATCAATAAAATGGAAAAGAAATAATAATGAAATGTATCCAGAAGATGAGAGTATTTCACTGACACCAAAAGAAAAAGCACTTTTGGAGTTATGGAATGTAAATTCCAGAAATATATTTAATTTGGGACAGGTCAGGCTCGCTCCAGATTTTTCAGGTAAAATTACAATGTCTTATCTGCCATATGTCAGTTACTGACATATCGATGAAGTCATTTAATCCTCACAATATCTCAGTGATATAGGTTGTCTCATCCCCATTTTAAGGATGAAAAATCTAAGGCTCAGTGGAAGGTAGAAATTAAGTGACTTCCCTGAAGGCAGGAGTTAGTAAGTAGCTGAGTCAAGATTAGTCCCAGTTGTCTAGCTCCAAAGCCTGTGTTCTTAACCATGCTACGTTGTCTCTCTGTCTAATAACCTATGTGTCACATTAATATAAACACATTTTCCTTTATAGGTATACAAGTAATGACTATCAAGAGAGATTCCATAAACCAAAGGTTGAATGAATCCAGTAATGAGTCTTTGGTCTTTGGAGATGTGGTTTTAAATTCTGATTTGAATTAAAATTAAATATTGTGGTGTATCAGCTACCTAATAGAGATATTTAATATGTTATCCATTAATGCTCATCTAACACCATTTTTCTGTTTCTCAGGTTCTACTTCTTGATCTGATTCAAAATGATTTTTCAATGTTATATAAATATATATCTAAGATGTCTTACTATAATCATTTAAAACACATTTAAAAATATTGGTCATTATCTCTAATAATAATCAAATTTTAACTTTTTCCTTTTTATTAAATCTATTAGAACTATAAAAATATTATAAAACCAGATGTTTAATTTGGTATTATACAAGTTAACAACTGTGGGATGCTTTTCAGTCATGAATTTGTATCTTTCCAAAGCAATGCTCTTAATGTTTTAGTCTTTTCACAATACTTTTGAAAAAAAAAATGAGATCAAATTTTCAAATTTAATTACACATATAGGTATTCAAATAAGACAGGCAGAATAAGAAATAAAGACTTAAAAGCTTTTATATGCAATTTGTAAGAAATGGCATATTATATGATTAATGTAAATAAAAATGAATAATGAGAGTTTTTATCCATTGTTTAAGTTTATATTATTTGGTTACTTTCTAAGATTATAGGATCACATTACTGGACCATAGACATAATTTAACTGATTCTTAGACAGGTTTAGAGCCTTGATAAAGATAGCCTTGCCTCATAGCTTGATGTAGAACCCAAGTCTTAAGACATCAGTTAAGTATTTTACCCTGGAATCACTTTGACACCTACTCTCCCTAGTGCTTGTATTATTTTATTTTTTTCTGTATTGTTGTGGACTTAGGTTTATTTTGATGACTTGCCTTGGAGAGACCTTAAGATTATAATTATGTAATTTTTTTTTACTGCCCGTTCTGGACTTGTGAAAGGAAGAGATTATGGCTAGTAGATATTTGTAGGTTTATTTTGATGACTTGCCTTGGAGAGACCTTAAGATTATAATTATGTAATTTTTTTTACTGCCCGTTCTGGACTTGTGAAAGGAAGAGATTATGGCTAGTAGATATTTATGCTGTTTAAAAAGAATAAGGTAACATTTCATTTTTTCATGTAAAACATAATTAGGAAACTTAATTACTTCAGTTTTGCTTGATGTTTTTAGTTGTACCTTAGTTTTTAAAGCTATTTTTAAATGCTGTCTACTTATATATCTTTTATTTTTCTGTTATCTAAAGACCAAGACCTTTGGAGGAGGTGGTGGTGGTGCTAGAAGTAATCTCAATATGAGTGCTGCTGGTAACCGAAGTAGAGATGTTTTACAGAAAGAAAAGTCAACCAAATTAGAGGGGAAACATGAAGGTTTCTATAGAGAATTGGTAAGGCTGAAGAATCAACCACAAAGTTAATGCATTCTTTCTTTTAATAGTCTCAATGATTCTTTTATTCTTTCTCACAATCACTGGCTTTGTTCAATGTATTGTGGATAAATGTTATGACTCTAAGCAGGCTTTCATTAAGGACTACAGTTAATTCATGAAAAATTTGAATTGTTTGAAAAATAATTTAGTTAAAACTTCCATTTCACTTAAATTACTTATTTCTGAACAATGTCTTTTGGAATGAATTGATAAAAAGCCATTAAATTAAATAAAATGTTCTCAATGGAAATTATATTTTAAAAGATAATGCATCAAAAACATATAGTTATCTGCCCTTCTGCTATGGGTTATGTGTGTCCCCCTGAAATTCATGTACTGGAAACTTGACTTTCATGGTAATAGTGTTAAGGGGGTGGGAAATCCAATTATGGTATTTGAAAGGTGGAGCCTTTAAGAGGTGATTAGATTGTGAGGACTGTGCCCTGGTGAATGGATTGATCTATTCATGGGTAATGGGTGTGGTTCTGATGGCTTTAAAAGGAGAGCAAGTGAGAAGGTTAGCTCTTCTGCTCAGCCTGTTCTTGCCATGTGATAAACTGGTCACCATGGGACTTTGTGTAGAGTTCCCACCAAGAAAAGGGCCTTCACCAGACGTGTTTCCTAGACCTTGGACTTTCCAGCCTCCAAACTATAAGAAATAAATTTTGTTTCTTTATAAATTACCCAGTTTCAGATATTCCATTATAAGCAACACAAACGGACTAATATACCTTCTCACTGTTTCCCACATCTTTTCTCAAATTTTGTCTAAATCAATTTTGTTTTATTTTGCTCTGCTCTTTGGGAAAAGTATATTGAAACAAGTATATGTATATTATGGACTAAAATGAAAAATATGCCTGGATTTTTAAGATAAATGAGAGGAGTCAAAGATATTTCTGGTATGTTGCAGTGTGTCCTCAAATCTAAGGAAGCTGGCAGGAATTCATTTTCCTTTGCCTTTAGAAGTTGAATGACTACAGTTGATTTTGTCTGTAGGGTACAGAATAACCAAGCCCTTGCTTAAACTGTGGGGGTTTATTATCTCATGTAACAAGAAGTCCAGAGGTAGATGGTTACAAAGGTTGATAAATTTAGTAGTATAACACTGTTAGAGCTTTGGTGAGTATCTCATAATTTCTTGGCTTTCTCCCCAGAGTTACAAGATTCTTCATATACTAAATCTTCACACAAAAAGTTTAAAGGCAAGACAGAAAAGGGGAAATTTCTGTGTGTATGTGTGTCTATTTTATCTGAGAAGAAAATCTTTTCTGAAATAGATTTCCATTTATGTTTCATTGACTAGAACTAGGTCATATGCCTACTCCTAAATCAATCCTTGGTCAAGGGAAATGGGTTTATAACTATGGGTTAGGCTGCCTCTTCCTTGAACATATGTGCATCTGATTCTTAAAATAATAATAATAAAAATAAAAATAAATTGGGGTTTAAATAGCAAGGGAGAATAGATACGGTGAGCTGAGTAAGACACGGTCCCTAGTCAAGAACCTCTTAAACTTGAGTAAATTGAGTATACTTTTGTGAGGATGTCTTAACAAAGAATTCCAAAGAAGATTAGCAGATTGGGGTTGTTGCAATAATTAAAAACATATGAAGGGAGTGATATCACAAAGATGGTGGTGTAAAAAGCTCCAAGAATCAGCCCCTCCACTGAAGCAATGTTGAGCTGGCAAGTACCATCTGAAGAAACTATTTTAGAACACTGTAGCCTAGTCAAACACTTGTAGCATCTGGGAATGTAAATGATGAAGAAAGAGGCTGGTCATTGGCTGACCAGGGAGATAATGGAATGGAGACTTCATTGGTCTCACATCACAAGGAATGTATTTCTTGCAAAGAAAAAGTTTGGAAAAGTCACTAAACAACTGATAATGCAACTTCATCAAGTAACAACAGCAATCCTTGGGGAGGAGGGAGAATCTAATTTCCAGTTACTACATTACTGTATTCAAAATGTCCCATTCTCAAGCAAACTCACAAAAAAATACAAAGAGATAGAAGTTTGTCCTATTCGCAGGAAAAAAAGAAATCCACAGAAACCATCCTTGAAGAAGCCCAGACATTAGATTTACTAGACAAAACTTTAAATTAACTGTTGTAAATATATTCAAAGGTCTGAAGGAAATCATTGACAAACAACTAGAGGAAATCAGGAGAATAATTTGTGAAAAAGTAGGTAATATCAATAAAGAGATATAAATTATAAAAAGAAACCAAATAGAAATACTGGGACTAAAAGGTACAATAACTGAAATAAAAAATTCACTAGATAGGTTCATCAACAGCTTAGACCCACCTAATCTGGCAGAAGAAAGAATCAGAAAACTTGAAGATAAGGCAATTGAAATTACCTGGTCTGATTGTCAATAAGAGAAAAGAATGAAGAAAAATGAACAGAGTCCAAGAGACCTATGGGATGCCATTAAATGTACCAATACATGCACTATGGAATGCCCTGTGGGAAAAGAGAAAGAAAGGGGCAGAAAAAATATTTGAAGTAGTAATGGCTTCCAATTCCCAAATTTGATGAAAGTCATGAATCTACAAATCCAAGAGGCTCAATGAGCTCCAGCTAGGATAAACTGAGAGTCACATCAAGATACATCATAATCAAATTGTTTCAAGAGAAATCTTGAAGGAGAGAAGTGACTTCAAGTATAAGGGATTCTCAGTAAGACAATTTCTCATCAGAAATAATGGAGATCAGAAGGAAGTGGAATGATACATTAAAAATACTGACAGAAAAAAACTTGTCAACCAAGGATTCTATATCTGGAAAACCATCATTCAGAAATGGAGGAGACCATCAAAAGGACAGTTTGAAATATTGATGTTTGAATATAAAGGAATGATTGGATAGCAAATTCTTTTGCTTGTTAGATGGTTTCAATTTTTTATTTTCAGCATTTAAAGGGAAACAATTGGGATGTCAGCTGATAGGTCGAAAAAAAAATCATGATAATAGGTAGTTTTATGGATTGAATTGTGCTCCCCCCCCCACCCAATTTTTTATTTTCAGCATTTAAAGGGAAACAATTGGGATGTCAGCTGATAGGTCGAAAAAAACATCATGATAATAGGTAGTTTTATGGATTGAATTGTGCCCCCCCCCCCAAAAAAAAAGATATGTTGAATTTCTAACTCCCAGTACTTTAGAATGTGATCTTATTTGGGACCAGGGTCTTTACAGAGGTAATCAACTTAAAGGGATGTCATTAGGGTGTTCCCTAATTTGCTGTGACTGGTCTCCTTATTTAAAGGCAAAATTTGGACACAAGACTGACACATATACAGAGGGAAGACCAACTGAAGACACAGAGGGAGAAGATGGCCATGTGACTAGAGTCTACATGCCAAGGATTGCCAGCAAATGCAGAAACTGGAAGAGGCAAGGAAGGATTCTCCCCTAGGACCATCAGAGAGCTTGGCCCTGTCAACACATATTGGGAATTTGGTTAACTGAAAATCAGGTTAACAAGAAAGGCAAAAATAAGTTATACCAAGGAGCAGATTGAGTATTAATGGATCATTTAAAGTATTTTTTTGGGTGACCTTTTATGTATGGAACAATATTCTTAATTAGATATTTACTTGGGAGATAATTTGGAGAGGGACATGTTTTGGAAGGTTTGGTTATTTTTTTATGTTCATATTAGTTTTTGAATAAAGATGAATTATGGTTTTGGTATCCAGGTATTTTTGCATTTACTTTAGTGTATCCGCTGCAGGGATGGTAAGTTATTTTTCTTTCATGTGTCAACTCTGATCTGTTGATAGTAGCTACTAAATTTAGAAGGATTTTTTGACACATGGTTTGGAAATCATTACTCTTGCTTTATCAGTGTCTGCATGGGCGTCAGAATAGGTGTCTGCAGCATACATGCCATTTATGCTAACTTAAAACCTATCCATGTTAACTATTAGATGTATAAAAATTAAAGTCTGTTTTTCTCCACTGGCTTTGGTTCAAGAAATTTCTTCATGCTGCATAATTCTACTACTTAAGCAGTTCTTGAATTCTATTCAGATCTAGATTTTTAAAGGAGATTTGGATTCTGGCTTTTGTAAAGTGGACTTTCCCATTTGGGGACAGCTGTCAAAACATCATAGATAGCATTATTAATGAATATAGAGAAGAATACTGAGGCAATAGAGAATTAAAAAACAAAGCTACAAAGGTGATACTATTTTCCTAGCTTCAATTTATACTTTGTATTTTTGGAGAGGTGCTATATAAATTATATTTTCTTTCTAGGATGGAGAGGTATCAATATTTTTTCATTTTTTACTGTGAAAAATTTTCATTAGGTAGTTTTTTCTTCACCATCTGTATTGTTTTCAAAGGCTTTATTCTAACATATAATAAAATTTCCTTTTTTGTTTTGCATTTTCAATGGCATTGGTGAAGTCAGAGTGTACTCAAGGCACAACCCCACATAGCATACAGGTTCTTCCTTAACTATTGGTATGAAACAACAGCAAGTGAATACTGTATTAGTATGACATTTTTTTCCATAAGTATGGAATATAATTTTTAGTTGAGACAGAAAATAAGTAAAAACTTTTACCTTGCTTTATTTATGGGCTATCAGCAAAACTTTTCATTTCTTACAGGTCGATGAGAAGGCTCTGAAGCACATAACAGAAATGGGCTTCAGTAAGGAAGCATCAAGGCAAGCTCTTATGGATAATGGCAACAACTTAGAAGCAGCACTGAATGTACTTCTTAGCAGCAATAAACAGAAACCTGTTATGGGTCCCCCTCTGAGAGGTATAATTTATTAAGCAATGTACCAGATAGTATTGTTTGCATTTTAAAGGAATGTATGTTACTGACAGAGGCTGGATTTTTATTGCTGTCAGGACTGTAACTTTATTTAAGATTGTAGTAAGTGGAAGGAATATCTGTTGTGGAACCACAGTGATGTTTGTAGGTTGCTTTGAGTCTCATTGTCTTCATCTTTATGTAAACTGGGCCTATCAATGCCTTATTTAACAGGATTGTTATGAGTAACAGAGAAAATATGATATGCAATGACTAGTTGTATTAATTATTTATAGAATTATGCTACTTGTACAAATGACTAAACAGTCTGTAAACTTTTAAAATTAACAAGAACATAACTTTTGCCTGATGTTATTCTTTAGTCATTGCATGGGCAAATGTGTAGTGTGATTTTTCAAGTCCCAAATCTCATATTTGTTTTTGAAAAATCTGTGGCCAAAGAAAAATTTTTATAAAAGTGATTTATTTCCTTAAAAGATAATTTATATGAACAAAGTCAAATTTCTTCATAGATCATTAAGAGGATTAAAGGTGCTGTTTAACATAATCATTTGAAAAGTTATTATAAAAGATGTAGAATATACGAAAAATATGAAAAGACATACATACAAAATCCCACTTAAAGTGTTTGCTGTTTACATTTTAGTGCATTTTCTCTTTTTATTTTTGCATATACAATATATATGTTTTGCTTTTAAATCTCAAGGTAGAGGAAAGGGCAGGGGGCGAATAAGATGTGAAGATGAAGAGGACCTAGGAAATGCAAGGCCATCAGCCCCAAGTACATTATTTGATTTCTTGGAATCTAAAATGGGGACTTTGAATGTGGAAGGTAGGCCAACTTGAAGTAGATTTCTTTTCTTTTCTTTTCTTTTTTTTTTTGATAGATTTCTTTTTAAAAGGCCAAAGTTAATTTGGAATTGAACAAAAAAAGGTTTATAAAGCAACTGATTTTATGAACCTATATTCTGGGTGTTTGTTTATAAATTTATTTAATTAAAAATTTCCTGTTTATTAAAAATGTAGAAGAAAATTTTAATTGTTACATTCTGAAAACAAATGGGAGCTTATTTTGCCCCCTAACTGTATAACAAGTTATATCACCTAACTACTTTCCTTAACTTTACTCCTACTTAGGTGACAGATTTAGCTATGTAAACAGATTGTTGTGTTGGAAAATTTATTATTATATACAGTCATCCCATGGTATCTGTGGGGGATTGGTTCCAGAACCTCCCATGGATTCCAAAATCCATGGATGCTCAGGTCCCTAATATATAATGGTGTAGTATTTGCATGTAACCTATGCAAATCCTCCTTTATACTTTAAATCATCTCTAGATTACTTATAATGCCTAATACAATGTAAATGCTATGTAAATAGTTGTTACACTATATTCTTTATGGAATAATGACAAGGAAAAAAAGTCTGTATGTGTTTGGTAAAGGTGCAATTCTTGTTTTTTGAGTATTTTCAATCCGTGGTTAGTTGAATCCACAGATGTGGAACCCGCGGATACTGAGGGCAAACTGTAATCTTATGTAATTTATTTTGATTGTGAAATTGGTCTTTATTCTTTCTCCACATATTACCTATCATATGAAAATGTTCACACAGTAAGTATGCTTTCACAACATGATGTATTTCTTAATACTACATACCTTAGTGATAAACATAAATACTGAAAGGAGAAATAAGTATGTTAACTATGTATCTTTTTTCTAAACATGAAATATATGGTGAATATTTTCTAAATTAGTAAGTTGAAAAGGTTCCAAAAGGTTAAGGAAATATACTCTTAATTTTAGTTTTCTCTTTTAGATATATTTTGAATCTAACCAAATAAGCTCAGAGATAAAACGCTTTTATAACAAATTTGAAATGTCCAGATTTCATGAAAATGGAAGCTTATTTGCTAGATTATATAGAAAAGGCAATGTATTGTTTCAGAAAACAAATGTTTGATGTAGATAGGATTTGTAAACTATAACATGTAAGAGCAGTATGTTCTTGATTGTAAAGCATAATGTATTAGTTTTCTATTGCTGTGTAGGAAACTGTTCTATTGGCAATGGAGAGTTATTAGAAGCTTTTTTAAGAAGAGTAATTTGTTAATCCAAGCCTCAGGAAAAAACAACAACAGATAAACAAATTACCACAAAGTCAATGGCTTAAAGCAATGCAAATTTATTATCTCATAGTCTCTGTGTGTCAGGAGCCCAGGCACAGCATCATTGGGGCCTCTGCTTAAGGTCTCACATGTTGAAATCAACATTTCAGCTGGGGCTGTGATCTTGCCTGAGACTCAAAGTCCTCTTACAGGCTCACAGGTTGTTGGCAGAATTCAGTCCCTTGTGGATGTAGGAATGAAGTTGCATTTTCTTGCTTGATGTTGGCTGGGGACTGCTTTCAGCTTCTTTAGAAGCTGCCCTCAGGTTGTTGCCACAGAGCCCGCTCCACAGGCAGTTTACAGCATGTTGTTTGCTTCTGCAAGGCCAGCAGGAGAATCTCTGCTGTTGTTTCAGGTCTCTCTGACTTCTTCCTGACTCTGACTTCTTGATATTCTTGTCCCAACTTCATTTTATACTATCCCACTCAGAGCTCTTTTGATTTCCTTCCATCTTCCTGTTCCCCTACATTTGTCTCTGACTCCTATTAGTATCTCCTAAATCATAATCCTATAGTATCTTCTAAATCATTGTATTTTCTACTGTTCGAGACTGAAAACAGTAACTTGTCTATGACCTGTGTGCCTGTAATGCTTCAGTTCTCAGAGTGCAATCGTATATTAACAAAATGAAGTAATACTAGCATTCCACTTGGAAAAAGGTATCAAATTTAATTAAGATACATGAGATGAATACTGCACTTGGAACCTAAAATCAGTGTTAGAGAGATTTACTTCTGAGGGGATGGAAGTTTGTGAACATATCTGTTCATACAGGATATTATTTTAGTAGAATATGTTGTATTTACATCATTATTATTAATATGACACAGAGTCAGCTAGAATGTTAGAAAAATGTAGAAATTATAGTATTTTCTAGACCCTTAATTTTCATAAGGAATGTAGCCTATGATCTTCATAAATTCCCAAACTCACAAAGTTGGAAATATTTGTACAGGCTCTTAAATTTTATTCAAATTCATATGTTCTTGTGATCATTTTAATACCAGAAATTATCCCCCCCCATTTCAATTTACATTAGAGTGTCTGCCATACTTGGTGATCACTATTCTCAAGGAAGCAAATTTTTTATTCTTTCCTTCTTAAATGTACTGTGTTAGGAGACTAGCTAACCAAGATGGGAGATAGGCAGAAGGCTTCATAGAAGAGATGGCATTTAGCCAAGTCTGAGGAGGCGTGTTGAGGAAAGGGCAGTCAAAGTAGAGGAAGCTCTATGTATACAGGCTTGGAAGCATTAGAACACCCATTCACTGTGCTGGCAAGGGTGAGAGAGAGGTAGGGAATGAGGGGGGGGGGAGCGGTCAGGGAGATGGAATTGGTAGGCTGGAGCCACATCAAGACGATTTCATCCTAAGGAGTTTTTATTTTATCCAGCCATGAGAGGGTTTTTGGCATGAGAGTAATGAGTTTTATTTTGGTCTTTTAAGAAAAAACTTTGTCTGCAAGGAAAATGGGGTAAAATGGGGTTGAGATTGAAGTCAGGCTACAATTGTATGAGGGTACTTCAAAAATGTTTATGGAAAGATTTGTATTATCTTTTAATTCTATTTTTCCGTGAACTTTTAAAAGTACTCTTGCATGTTTTGTAAGGAATTATTCATTCTATAAATGCAGTATTTTATTTTGTATTTATTTGTACCAGGTCTGTGGTAAGTGGTCGGGAAACAAAGTATAAAAAATAACTTCATTCAAAAAATTCAGGGAAATAGATTGATTTTGTAGCTCTTGTCCCAAAGAGGCTTACTGTCTAGTTTGTGAGACAAACAAACCACGAACTAAAGGAACGTAGGAATGCTTATTAAAAAAGGATTCTATCATTTACTTAGATTATGCTGGAAGAATACGGAACAAAGTATAAGGGCTTATCAGGAATTATTTTGAGTATAGTAATCAGACATAATCTGGCATATTTGTAACCTATAATAATATTTAGTCCTTTATTTCAAAGTTTTATTGCCAAAATAAGATCAACTAGTTGTTTTGAATGCCTAAGAAATACTTTAATCCGATAGACTTGAAAATACTACTTGGTTTGCTGTTTCACTGTTCTAAATATTTGTCTGACCAGGGGTTGATTCCATCAGTAGCAGCTTTTCTGAACCTGAGCTCTCTTCAATGATATTGACATCACACAGAAAAGATTCATGATAACACACCCAAGTACAAACAGCCACATAATAAATTGATGTGTGTGTAGATGGAACATTATTGTGCTTGTAGATGTTTCTTTTATCTCTTGGTTCTGTCTTTATGGGTGCAATGAAGGTAACAGGATTGATGAGAAAGCTGGTGTGTGGTCAACCTTGGGTATTGTTTGTAGATATTCTTTTGCACTTTCTCTTGTTAATCCACTCATGCCACTAAATGATGGTATTCTTAGGTGAGCTGGTGTTCGTAGTTAAAACAAAACAAAACAAAAACAGTTGAGTCAAGCTACTGAATTGTTTTTCCACTCATTTTAAGATTTCATGTTTCTTTTTAAGTGGAATTAAAGCACAGAATAAACTTTTACTTCTGTAAGACTGAATCTCTGCTTTGGTCTTTCCTTATAATTTGGTCATTGATCCATAAATCTTACGTTCTAAAATTAACTATTGATGGTAAAAATGTTGAACTTTTTTCTAAGGAAAATCTACAACGCTTTTCAGGATAGAGTCCTGATAATGTTTAATCGTTAAATGCGTTATGAACAGCTAATGAAGAGAGTTATGATCTTATAATTTTATTTATGTTCATATCATCAGCATCATTATTTGGTTCTGCTACAGACCTGAACTGACATTATAAAGAAGTAATCCTGATTCAGCGATGTGTCTATTTGGGGTTTAAAAAATGTTTGTTTCTAATAAAGCTCAATAATCGAACCTTTTTTGCTTCTGTCTTTTATATCAGTATAAGCTGTCAGAGGTTTTTGTTTAGTTTAGTACTCCTAGAAGTCAAGATTAGCTGAGTAGGCCTTGGCCTGGATGGACTTGTCATGTCATACCAGATTCTGTATAATGTGTCAGGCTTGTGGGGAAGAAAAGCAAACATCCTTTAAGGATGAGATTCCTTCTGACAAATTTAATGTAGGTTAGTATTCACTTTCATATCACATTATGTAATTTTCTCTAAAAGAGCAGAGGGTGCTATCATTTCTTTATTCTGATTTTTAAAAATTCCATCAGAAATAATTGATCATCACATCCACTTAGAATTTTTCTCTTAGCATTAACTTTTTGTTGTTTTGTCTTTAAATTGGAATCAAAAATAACTGTTTGACATTACTATTACTCTGAAAAAAAATGAGGTTTGATTACATTGTTTTCTTAGAGTAATAATTAAAATGTTTTATGTGTTGCGTGATGCCTTGATGTCAACATGGGAAGATTTGTTTGATCAGTTTGTGACA